AGACGAAATATAGCCTGGAGATACGAAAATAAGGATTTTAGGAGTTGTGAGGCCACCCGAAAACGGAATCAAAACACCATGCATGGGGAAGGAAGGTCCAACAGTGTAAGTGAGGAAGAGGACAGGAAACAAGAGGATTTATACGGTCATCAGGGACATTGGAATTGGAAAATTGTTTGAGAAAAGAGAAAGGGGTGCTCGACCAGCAGGAGGTGATTCTTTAAGGGGTTAATGACTCGGATTGACCTGATGGAGTCTAATTAGTCGACCTGGGAGTTTCTTCGAAATTAATAAAGCGTGATCAAGGGGGCAACGGCGCCTTGGCAAGAGGTTACTCAAAAAAGTGCAAGGTCCGCCATCCGTCATCGATAAGAATAGCAACCGTTGATCCCGGTCACAGAGATCACACTCGCTCAGAATTGCAATATACCGTTGTTTATACCTGCGTCATGCAATCAACAGGACACACAAGCCAGCATCCATGTCCAAGGAGCCGGCTTCCCCATCAGGAGGTAGCCCCGAATTTTTCGTCACTGGTTCCACACAGGCGCGAGGTGCGGAACTTGCTTAGCCGATTGAGTAGAGAATTAAACGAGTTTTATAAAGGCTATAACCTGAGCCCGCCTGCGCACTGCTTGCAGCTTTGGTCTTCTACTGCGGTTGAGGTGGTCTATACCCAGTAGGCCCTCCCATAGGTGCGTACATGTCTTGTGATGGTTGGGGTGGCCCACCCATTGGCTGATACGTGGTCATACCAGGCCCAACTTGTGCCGCCCCCATCATCCTTGGATGATTCATCGACGGCGGAAGGTTCGAACGGAGAGGATAGGAGCCAGGCGGGAGTGGCGTGCCTTCAGGGTACGAGACATAGGAAGGATTGCTGACGGGAGCTCCAGGACCTGGAGTCTGAGGATGATGAGCCATCTGCATCTGGTAGATGTTTGGATAAATGTTTGCTTGGGCGTTGGGTGGTGGTTGCTGATGTAAGTTCTGCGGCTGGGGTGCAGTCTCGGGGCGAGAGATGCTGTATGGCGCAGTCCCGGTCACTGACGGCGGTCCTGTAGGAGGATAGGGATTAGACATTTGCTGGTATCCTTGACTGGGTCCAGTGGATGGTGGACGAGCGTGCGTCGTCGCTGATACCGCCATCCCACTTCCCTGGCTATACGCTGGCATGGAATCAGGCTGCGAGCCATACTGCATATCTCTGTTCATCCCGTAGGCGCCGGGAGGATTTGGATTCTGAGCATGGTTCATGTTTGGTTGGCCAGGGTACATTGGATACGCCGTTGGCGGTCCATAGCCAGGAACGGCATGACCTGGGGTGACAGTCGTTGTCTGCGAGGTTGCGTGAGCACCCATTGCACCTGTCCCACCAGGGGTTTGTAGTCTCCTATCGGGAGGAACGGGACCAGGCGGATGGCCGTGCGGGCCAGTCGTCCATGGAGGGTGAGCAGACGTGGGATGGGATGTTGCTGACGGCGACCAAGTAACGGGTGATGGCTGACCAGAGCCATTTCCGTTTCCGGCTTCGCGGATTGGCACGCTAGGTGCGCGCCTTGCTTCTCCCATTGGATAGTTGCCGGCTGCCCCATTCGCTGCACCTTCGTTAGGTGGGGCACTGTTCGCGCCTGGGGGACCTTCCCATCCTTGGGGTGGATTGGATGGATTAGATGCAGAAGACCAGCGCATGGGTTCATCTGCGCGACCATCAATATCGGTGAGAGGTCGATGTTCGAGATGACTGGAGGGTGGAGGAGGTAGGCCATGTCTTTGCCACGGCGGACCAGCGGGTGGATCAGCCATTGAATGACTGGATGGCCATGCTGGGTTAGTAGAGCCTGGTTGTGGTGCCCATTGTTGCATTCCACCGGGGGGCGGATGGGAAAGTGGGCGCCCTTCGCCTGGAGCCCATGAAGCTTGTCTTGACGGCGAGGCGGATTGGGGACCTTGAGTGCCTTGGGGTGGTGCGGCTTGGCCGGGTCGAGGATAAGGATTGGAAGTTGAGGGAGAGCCAGAACGATCGGGAGACGAGTCAGGGGGTTGGGTCCATCCTGCTGGCGTATAGTAAGGTTGAGAGGACATAGATGTACCAGAAGGAGCATTACCGTCTATAATTTGCGAACGAATTTAGACACACAAAAGGCTTGGGGTTTCCGTCACATTTACTCACTGGCTGGATGAGAGGCGGGTTGCCAGCCTCTAGGGACCGAGTTTTGAAGACTAGGACGCTGAGGAGGCCAATGACCAGACACGTCGTTGACTCCTGGCCAGGGCCGCGTGGCGTTTTCCTGAGAGGGTGGTCCATATTGCATGTATTGCATGCCGTCCGCACCGTGACCATTCTGACGACGATTTTCTTCATCGAGTTGTCTCATAAGAGCATATGCATGCTCTGGCGATTGGACGATCCAAGGGGCACCGTTCTCACTCCTTCGGTCGGGCGGAAGTTCCGAGGGGTCAAACTGGACAGCCATGTTCATCGGATCGATCGGAGACCTGAGTTCGTACTCATAATCAGGAGGTTGATAGACTTCAGGGTGGGATCCGGAAGGTTCACCCGTTCCGAGCGCACCATCGGGTTCTAAATAGGCACGCCCAATGTCGTATAATGCCGATCGTCTAGACAAGGGGATTTGCTCGGGAGGCAAGTGATACGATATAGGAGGAGCAGGACGTGCAGATCGCGACTAGTGGGATCATGTGAGAGAGGAAATTAATTCGTGAGATACAGTTGGTTCGGAACCAATGGAGTAGGTGTCGCCGCCAGACGAGCACTACTCACCGAACTAGGATCCAAAGGTCCTGATACAGAAGGGCTATATTTCATTTCTTCGTTAATTTGCGCCGGGTGCTGGGCTGGTGGCCTAATTTTATTGTTGAACACTGGGTCATCCTCGTCCTCGTCCTCGCCACCGCTGGGGGCTGGGGGTGGTTGGTTGCGAAGATAGTGAGGCCTTTGGTTTGGGTCCGCCATCCTGTAGCCCGAGGTAGGCTCACTGATCAAGATCCCATTTGTTGCGCGCATGAAGCCTGTTGGTAATGTTTCGCCCGGCGTGGGTTTGAGGCCTAAGAGTAGAGCAGAAAAATTAAGAATTGGGGTGTAAGTGAGATAAAAGATGGTGGTAAAAAGTCTGTATGGCTCGCCTTTGATGAATTTGGTGCCCTGGGGAAAGCTTGCGGCAAGACTGTCCACTGGCGGCTCACCCGCAGTCCCACGTCGTAGTTTGCTCGTCGTCGGAGATGCACTTGGTTTGTTATTTGACATTGACATGACTGGAACTGGAGGAGAGGTGCCGATCAGATGGAGAGGAACAGCAGCCGAATTTGGGAGGAGAATATACCGATATCGTTATCGTTTGGCTCTGCGGATTGAGATGGAGCTGAGGACAGTTTGCTGCTTGACCTAGTCGAGTTTCGTATCGTAGACATGTACGCACGAGTGAACGCCGGGTCGAAGCTGGAGGGCCAAACTGATTCTGGACCAAAGGGAGACATCACACAACTCTTATAGGGCCCTTCGCGTGGTCAGTGCGCATGCTTGTCGCATTCAGACTGCTCCACTCAAATACCCATTTTCTCCGTTTTGGAAAGGGATCCCACCGTTTCGTTCTGGAATATGGGAAAACACGCAAATATTCACCCTGTCCCTTCACAACACTGAAAAGAGAGACGGGGAGGGCTCAGGGATACCCGGGACGCGAGGCTCAACTCAGAAGGAACGAATATCATCGAAACAACGGTTATCTATTCAAAGCAGTTTTTTTAAACCTGTTCACTTCTCTCAAATTCATTCAATAGCGCAAAATTATTGAGCGTATGGCGAATCTACAGCCGTTGGCAAACCTGGTTCCTCGGGTGGACGAGGAGAAGCCCTGGACAAACAGAGCACGCATCTATTTTCTCGCCGTTGTTTCTCCGTACGTAATGTCGGGACGGCTTTTACTTCATCGGGTCTGCGCGAGGCGGAAAAGTAGAATCAGCAGCATCGAGTGTTAAAAAGCCGGAGACATGAATCATTAGCGCAGGCTTGCGTCAATGAACAGTAGGTGTCGGATTCATTTACTTTGTGATAATGCAAGAGTACAGCCTGTTAGAGTTAGGATCGTCGAATTGAGAAGGGTTTTTAGCATTCATCCTCATGTAGCGTATCGTTTCCCGCGTGGCAGAGGGCTGTTAGCACTGCGCTCTTGACAGTAGATTGTTCCAAGATAACTGAGAGAATATCGATACCGGGAAGTGTCGATAAGATACCGACGGCCACTCACCCAGTCGTGCGGAAACAACGAGGCCACAGGTCAGTGGAGTACTGACGCCAATGCCCCGCTCCGCGGTCCAAGAAAAATGCATACGCTGCGCCTCCAAGGCTCCAATGACATCTTGGTACTTGCTGCAGAGGCAAGGATGGGTGCCCATCCTTCCACGGGGAATAACGACCATCCATTACTCAGACATTCTGGAAGGCCCGTGAAAGACGACTAATATTGTGCCCAGAATTTGTCAGAAATAGTACGGTTCGAGTATTATCATTTGTTCGATGGTGGAAGGGGTCGCAGGTACAGTTAGGCGAATATGCCGAGAATAGCCAAACAGACGCCCAAACAGCGAAGCCATTCTTGGTCTCTACCACCTTTGGACCACTTTGCCCTTTTGCCCTCCACTGCACAGGCGGACCCCATTACCGTCATTTTTAAACTGGCTCGACTAGTCTAAATCGCCCGTTGAACAGGCTTTCGCCTTACACACACCTTTCTAGAGAGCGTCCGCTTACATCCTCTCCCCCTACCACTTTAGAACACACACAGTTTCCATTTATCACTTCATTTGCAATTATCGAGCACTTCTAGACCGATATCAGTATCATCAACATGTCGCCACCACCGCAGCTTTGTTTCCCATTTACGAACAAGGCAAAGGGCCTCGTAACCCACCATCCCAATGATTCTGCGTCCACTGCGACCCTCACTTCGATGACTTCTGCAGCTACCAAGCTCCATTTCACAGAAGACACCGAATCTTACTTCCAGACGACTACGCCGCCTATTCCATCACGAACTACGTCAGCTGGTTCTGTGGAAAAGCCGGGTGGTCTCAAGAGAGCCTTCACTTGGAGACGCCACGAGAGCACTTCAACTCTTGTCAGTGAAGATCACAGTTTCAAGAAGACAGATGAGCCAGCCGAGATTGTTGTCGACACTGCGCTCAGGCTCAACGCCTTACGAAAGAAGATGGCTGAAGAAACCATAGATTATTTGTAAGTTTTTTATTCTCATTTCCCTTTTTTACTCCAACCCCCGATACCCTGCTCCACCCACTGTGTGTGGCCTGGCCCCGGGCTTTGTAAAGTCCTGGTGGCTGGTCCTTCCCAGCCTCGCATAAGCAACCGGCTGTTAGCCGGAGTGGGGCACAGCACCTAACATTGGATCGCCTGCCTTATCAATACTGACTGGCTATCCACCTGTCGGTTTGACAATGGTTCTCGTCGATGTTATGGACAGTCTCCACTCGTGTCCCTCGCCCATGCGAGTAAACAAGCGTTTAGGCGCGGAAGTGTTGCCTAAACAAGCAGGAGGCATGGCTACTTGGGGTAGGCCGATTGCAGGGCGGACCCCGTTGTGAACTCGACTGCGAGTAGACCGGACAGTGAACTGACATTGTTTTTTTTTCTACCTTTCGTCATACAGTATTATTCCCGCCGAAGATGGTCATCTATCGGAATATGTCGCCGCCTCAGACAAACGTTTGCACTGGATATCGAGTTTTACCGGATCGGCCGGAACTGCGATTGTATCTAAACGATCTGCCTATCTATTCGTTGACTCTAGATATTGGGTTCAAGCCGAGCGCGAGCTCGACAGCAACTGGACCGTGATGAAGACTGGTACAGCAGAGATCAAGGATTGGCTCGACTGGGCAATTACGTGCCCAAGAGGCAGCAAACTCGCGATCGATTCGCGCATGATCTCGCACGAGCGAGCTACCAGGTTGTACAAGGGTCTCTATGACCGCGGAAGCAAGCTCTCTCACCCACGCCAAAACTTGGTCGATTTGATCTGGGAAGACCGACCAAAGCGGCCAAGGGATCCCGTCTATGTGCAACCCGTAGAATTCACCGGCAGGGATATCAAGGAGAAACTTAGTGATATTCGCAGGTGGATTCGCAAGCAGAATGCCGCGTTGGCCAAGGAGAAGGGAGGCCTCAATCGCTCAGCCTCCTCGGCATCGAATACCAAGCCGACCAAGCCGAGGGAGAATGTGAAGAGATCCAACAGCGTATCAGCCACGACCCCACCACCTATCAAGGGTGCGACTCCCGCATCTGCCGTTCCAGCGAGACTCACCAGCCCCCCTGGTGTAAAGAGGAGCAATTCAGTGCCAGGTGCCAGCCCCGCTCTTGGCGGTCCCGATAGACTCGCTGCCGTCTTCCTCTCTGATCTCGCCTCTATTGCCTATGTTCTCAACTTGCGAGGCAGCGACATTCCATTCAATCCAGTGTTCACAGCCTACCTCTTGGTCAGTGCAGAGGGCAAGACGGTGCTCTTTATTGAAGCACACAAGGTTCCAAAGGAAGTCAGAGACTATCTCCACGAGAATGGCGTCAGCATCCGCGAATATGGAGAGGTTTGGACCTTCCTCCGTGGAAAGCAATGGGGCGAAGGAAAAGTCATCATCCACCCCAATACTCCATATGCCGTTTCTCTCATCATTGGGTCCAACCGCTATACAGTCCTTCCATCCTTTGTAGAGGAGACCAAGGCCGTGAAGAACTCGGTTGAAATTGGCGGAATGCGCGATGCCTATCTTCGAGATGGTGCGGCGGTCGTCCGGTGGCTCGCATGGTTAGAGGACAAGTTTTCAAAGGGCTACGAAATTACAGAATGGGAAGCGTCTGAGAAGCTCAATTACTTCCGCGAACACGAGTTGCTTGCCGATGGTGAAGCTTCCATGTATATGGGTCCAGCCTACGAGAATATTGTTGCTACAGGGTCGAATGCTGCCCTCCCACACTATAACCCCACGAGGAACGGAAGCAAAGTCATTTCTCGCCACGAGCCATTCCTTTTCGATTCTGGAGGACAATATCGCGATGGAACTTGCGATACCACGCGAACTGGTGTGTACAATTCAATTTTTAAAAAATTGAATTTTTACTAATTGAATTTTAGTTCACTTTGGATATCCGACTATTGAACAAGCCGAGGCCTTTACTCGCGTCTTGCAAGGACATGTGAGTTTCCAACTTGTCTTAAGGTGTTTCATACTCATCTCTTCTAGATTGCCATTGAGAATGCTATCTTCCCTGGTGGAACGTCGGGTGCTCAACTTGACGTACTCGCACGCAAAGCTCTCTGGCGCGACGGGCTCAACTATCTCCATGGCACTGGTCATGGTGTAGGCAGCTTCCTCAACGTACACGAGGGACCACACTCGTTCTCTTCAGCCACTCCTTTGCAACCCGGCCACATCATCACCAACGAGCCCGGCTACTACAAGGACGGCGAGTTTGGCGTGCGCATCGAGTCAACTCTTTTGGTTAAGGAGACCACAACCAAGAGCCAAAAGGATGAAGAAACTTGGCTCACCTTTGAACGACTCACTCAGGTGCCCATCCAAACCAAGATGGTTAGGGCTAGTATCTTGTCCAAGGAGGAAAGGCAATGGATCAAGGTATGTTTGTTCATCATGAGAAAAAGTATAATTACTCATAATTTGCAGGATCACAATGCCGAAGTTCGTCGAAGGTTGGAGCCCTATCTACAAGATGACAAGAGGGCTCTGAAATGGTTGATCCGCGAGTCCAAGAAGGGATTCGGAAACGAAGGCAAAGGATCAGCCGGTTTATCCATCGAATGGGATTAGATATGGCAACGGCGCAGGACGTCGCTGCCTAGACGCGTCAAACGCGTGACTCTGCTCAAGCGGCCAACTTCAAGGCTTCAAAATTATATTGTTTATTTTTCATCTCAATTTTGGTCGCTGTGATGTTTGAATGCGTCTCTCTGGGTTTCAATGTCGGTCTTCTCTTGATTTATTCTACCCTCCCGCCCTACCCGAATTGGAACCACACCCTCTTCCATTATATGTACCAATCGCCCATTTTTGCGGGCCTTACTGCCGTTTCTTGGATTCAGCACTGTATCTTCACACTTATCTTTATCTCGGGACGACCCAAACTCGCCATTCGTCTCCGACTTTACGACTTGTTCTCAAGATTCCTTTTCTTCACTGCCGAATGCTTTACCTTCCTGCAGCATTCTCGATCGCGGTCCACTCCAATTTCCTTTTTTCCTGTTCACGATATGGAGTGTCACCGCCTTCCCCCGCAGCCTCATGGTTCCTGATCGACCTGTCTGATGCCAATGTGCACGCTTGCATATTACTCCAACTGCAAAACGCAGTAACTATTCAAATACGAATTCAATATCCCCCCCTTTCCTTTCATCAAGGATTACACTATAGCACCCTCAGTTTGCCATCGTCCTTCAGGTTATATTCAATGGAATGGCAATCGACAGGTGCTTTCCCTATCATGTTGTATCTCCCACCGCTCTTAGATTCGTTCTTCAACTTCTCTCTATATTTGCCTCTCTCTCACGATTATATACCGAGTATGGTTGGGTCCTCTCAGCCTGCTCCTCATCAAAATAGCCAATTTTATTTGTACAGCTGCAAGAATACGAAGGTGACGAAGTACATGTGTGTGTGTGTGTTGTGGATGTGTTGTGATTCCGGAGTTTTCATAACCATCTTCTCCTCCAGACTTGTTTGAAAACATATTTTGTAGAAACCCCACTAGTGTCTATTGCAACGTCGTGAATAACAATCAGATTCTTTTTTCAAACTAAAAAAATCACCCGCCGTTAGCTTTGTCAGACTGTCAAGGCGTGAAACGCACCTATCCGGGCTTGGCCGTTGTTGTCGCTTTACCATCCTCTAGGCTGAGAAGCTTGAACTAAAGTACTGGATCCAAAATGACTGACACGGTGGCAGGGTGATTGAGCTTATCGCAGGATTAGCAACCGTAATGGTGGGCCTCCTGGCTCAATTGGAATTGATTAGGCCAGTGGGACCTTTACGGCGGAGAAGAGGAGCAGGCCTCCTTGTCCATAATCGCCAAAAAGAAACAATTAGCCGGCGAGCGATATTCGATATTATATACTTACTGTAATGCTTAACATCATTTGACCCAGGCACAGACCACCCCTTATACTCTCCTTCAGGGATATCGCAGAAGACGTCGTCTCGAGCGTTCGAGTACCGAGATACTTCGGAGGTTCCGCAGTGCCGACGGGTCGTCCAATCCCTGTCAGGTTAAGCAAAAAGGTCGTCATGAAGGGACGCGAGGGCGACGATGGAGAATGAAGACGAGGCAGCCGTGCGTGGCATTCGTCGTGGCCCACGAAGACAGCAGAGCCAGGTTTGCGTATTGCGTTCCTAAACGTGCAAAAAGTTGTTTGTGGGCTGTTCCTGGATATGCTAGTTGCTACATTCGAAAAGATAGAAGGTGGTGGACGGGTTTTTTGGGTTTTGGGTTCAGACCATCTTCATTTACACCCGCGCGATATGACCCCAGCGCTTCGTTCCTAAAATTCCAGTCTAGTTATTCCAGCGGTGATGGCAGCAACCTGCGAGTGAGATCGTTGGCGACAAGAGTGGAATCTGAGCGACGGTGTCGGACAGATCTGAGCATAATCACAATCCCAGTCAACTGCGTTCGTGTATGTGCTCGAGTCGCAACTTTTTTGTGTGATGATTGAAGGGTGGTGCCGCCATTGAATGAGTCCAAGGTGCCCATCTGTCACCCAAGAGTCAAAAGTGGACTAGCCTCCAGTCTGCGAATTTCCCCTCCCATCCACGGGTGTTTTTCGCCCAGTGCATGCGGATGATTCATTATTATTAATATCATCCTGTCGATTCAATCGCGCTCTATTCGCTCACTCATTCTCTCCCCCTTACTCTCCCTCCCCCGCTCGACTCCTCTTTCTCCTCCTCCTTTCTTACATTATCGCGAGTGTCCGCGTATAATCGGGTTTTGGAACTAATCAGATCGTCGTTGTGTCTGTCGTCTTGGGTCTCCTTTCTCTCGCCGCTCCTTCCCTCTTGGCTTTTCCGGCGAAACTTGTCGCGCCCGACTTCACCACCTTACAACACCGACTAGTCACAAAACAATATCGAATTTGTTCTTATACCCTATACAATCTACAAGGAATAGTGATTGGAAGAGTGGAGGACCTGTGTCTTGGATTTGGATTTGCCTCCTCACCTCC